TACTAGTTTTCGAAAATCTAAATCGGGTTCTCGAATTGAAGAAGGATGGGATGCTCTCTTTTTTATTGCTATTTTCCTTAATCGTGGTGTTAAGGTCATCATTAAGATTTCTGTCATCTTTGTGTTTTTATAGTCATGTGTATTTAATGAATATGCTTTTCGAACTAGTGTTTCGATTCGTACTGCTATTTGCTTGATGGTTTCGTTTGGTAATCTGCGAATTTCATTACATAAAACTCTTTGTTGTTGTTTGTTTCTTTCGGAGTCAAACATTTTTGAAAATTCTTGTGTAAATCTTTTCCAGTTTGATTTTATTTCTAGAGGTAGTACTGAAAACCATTTTTGGGCTGCGCCATCTAAGGTTGTTTGTATTAACGCTGTGCGTCGATGTATCCAATTTTGATGTAGTGGCGTATTAATTGGTTCAGGTCCAATATTTAAAATCAGGTTTGCTGTTACTGCATTTAAATAATCTTCTACAGAGTATTCAGGGTCTGTTCCTGTGAAAACCATTAAAGGTTTGTTTGATGTTATTGATGATCCACCCATAAGGTATGGATTCATTGTCATTTGTAATGATTCTGCTGCATTTGGCATTTGAGAAAAATTTGAAAGTTGGTTTCTTGTTATCTCATGTTGTTGGAGATAATATGGGAGTGGTATTTCATTTTGCATTTGTGATGGTTGATACGAGTGTGCAGTCATTGGATTTTGTTGTTGAATTGGTTGAAAAGATTGTGTATTAATTGGATTTTGTTGTTGAATTGGTTGTTGATTTTGTGCATCTATTGGTTGTGGAGAAAAATTTCTATGATTTGTACGTGTTTTCTGTATTCCTTGTCTACGATATTCTTGAGTATTTTGTGCAAATATATCTGGTTGTAAGAAATCATCATCTGAGGATAAATAATCCATTTGATAAGATGTCTGTTTTTTATTTTTATTTTGTTGAAAAAATGGGTAATTTTCACTGTGATCCCGTGGAGGATTTGTTTGGAAATTTGTTGAATTAGGTTGGGCCATTGGGTTATCCCAATTTCGAGATCTTGTATATTGGTTAAAATTTCTTTGTGGTTGATAATTTGTTTTTGACGGATGTGTATAATTATAATTATGGTCTGCAAAGTTGTTTCTAGTGAATGTTTTGCGTGTTTTTGGTGGTATTGTCATGGGTCTGTATGTTTGGTAATCCATATGTGAATATTTAGGGGCAACCGAAGGTTTAACGGTTGACTGTAAGGTTACCTGTGTTTGTGAAGGATTTGTATTTCTTGGTGTTGTTAAATTTGGGCGTATTGGTGAAATACTTTGTTGTGTAGTTGTTGTGTGTACAATTTCTTCATTTATGAAGTGTGATGGTGTCTGGATATCTTGTTGAGTAAGATTCCTAGTTCCATTGAGGTTTTCATTGTGTATAACTGTAGAGTTTAAACTATTATTTTGTGTATCGGGTAAAAATGTATTATAGTTTAATGGTGTTGCATCAATTGTTAATGGTATTACTCTTACATAATCTCTTATGTAAGATATTGTACCTATTGCTTGACTTGAGATTGATTGTGGAAAGCTTATAAATGCGGGATGAGACCATTCGGGGTCCCAAACATAATCTGATTGTTCTGTAATAGCGGTATCATCGTTCGAGTTTTGGGGTCTAAAATTTTTTCTTGCTTGTGCAATTAAATCAATATTGTGTGTGAAATAATCTATTATGAACCATGCCAAAATTTTTTGTAAATCGTGTTTGGTATGCTGTGAAACGTCGTCTTTCGTGAAATTTTCTTTAATGATGTTTAAATAACTAGAGAGTAGTGTGATTTCATGTCGTACTCTTAAATGTTTAGATGTTTCTGTCGGTGAGACATTTGTTATTGGGATTTCGTTTTCTAATATCGAAATATAACTATATATTATTGCGAAAACTTCATTGGTGAATATGGAGTTTGCTCTTTGTGAGTTATGGTATTGGATGCTTTTTATATATTCTGAAAAAACTTTTGAAAATTCTAAATCAAGATCGTCTGTTTGAATAGTATATGTTCTATTATTATGGTTTGGTGAGGTGAATTCTATGGAGTAGATTCCATACTGTTGTGTTATGTTGCATATATCTTTTAGATAGTGATCTATGATTTGTCTTTTGATTTTTACATCGGGGAACTCTGTTTTACATGGACTGATTCCGGGTTCAAATAAATTTACGAGTAAATTTTGACAAAATATGTGTTGTCCTCTATCAGTATCTGCGTCTACTATAAAAGGAAAGATTTCATCATCATCTGGAGTTTCTTCACCTGGGGTGTGCGTTGAACTCATTTTTTCGTTCGATTACTGTTAATATGTAATTATTAATGTGTCGAATTGGTTGATTCCAATTGTATAAATGTACTGGTTTGTGTTTGTACTGCTTTTTTATTCTTCTTTTTCCTCTTTGTGATGAATTTGAAGTTGTTTCTGAGTCAGAGAAATATAATTGATCGTGAATTGGGCAATTTTTATCTATTGATTCTTTTAGTTTGTAAAGTTCGTCTAAACTGTTGGTTTCTGATTCTGAAAATGCGTTTCGATTTTTTGAAAATCTTTTTCGTGTTATTTGTCTTTGTTTCGTTATTATTTTTCTTTTTAGTGTTTGTCGTTTTGTTCGAATGTATCCAACTGTTTGTGTATGGGGTGTGATTACAAGGTCGTATTTTTTGTTATCTATTTCACAATTGTGTAAAACGATTGTTTGTTTATTTCCTAGGTTTTTAAATGACATAAGGTTTTAGAATGACGGATGCAAAAGGTTGTTAAATGATTTCTATTTTCCTAAACTGTTAGTTCTTACGATTTTTTGGTTAGCTTAACCTGGGTCTATTTGTTCAGGGTTGGAGAGAAAAGTATATCGATTCCGAAGAATGATTTTTTACTTTCTCGTGGCTAGTATAAGTTAAGGTGTTAACTTACTTAATCTTACTTAGGGGTAGTGATTGTGTTCAAGGGTTGGAGAATAGTAAATCGATCCACAAGGTTCAGGTATAATTAGAACGCGAGTAGTTCGTTAGATACTATTTTAAACTTACTAAGTCTAAGATTTATCCTGGGTCTGGTAAGAGGGGGGGTCAAGTGAAGGATGAATAACCGAAGTTCTTCACTGTTTATCCTAATTTGAATGATTAGTTTTGTTTAAAAATTTCTATTAGTCTTAGGTCTTTAGAAAGGGTTGGGTAGTGAATCGACGTTTGAGGTCGTTAGACACTAATTAAGTGGGTGGGGGAGAACAAAGTTGTTCTGTTTGATCCAAGGATAAGCCTTGATGATCAAATTTGAAATTTAATTAAGTAGAAAATGATTTAAGATCCAAGGATAAGCCTTGATGATCTGGTTTTAAAATTAAGTGAATTTAGGTTTTAATAAAATTTTAAATGTGTGCAAAGGAAAGATTTAGTGTTTTGATGATATTAGTGGGTTTATGATTGCTGTTATGTTTTAGATGATGAAGCTGGGACAACAGGATGATTTATGATTACTAACCATTTATTGTCATGCTACTAATTTTTATTTTTATTTTCCAATAAATATTTTTCAAACATGTTTTGTATAATACTGCAGAGTTTTAGGAAAACGATCTAAGATCTTTTTATTAATCGTTATTGTATATTAATAAATTTGTTTAGCGCCTGAAATGATTTTGAAGAGTAACTTCAAAGTTTTATGTTTGCAAATGGAAATCTAAATTCATTGCAAGTAGTATTCTAAATATAAAAGTTTGTTCTGGCTTTTGCCGAACTATCATATAACTATACGGCAAGTTTCTACTTTGTCGTATGTCGTCTTTGGTTCGAGGTCTTCTTCCAATTCCGGGTAGTTCTGTTATGGTTCGGAATATTGGCTCTGATCTATTGAGTCGGAGAGACATTTCAATTAAATTATTGTCGTATAACATTTTGTAAATGTTTTTGTCTAATTTCTAATCTATTTTGGTTAATTCTAAGCTATTAAGGTTTTGTTCGAGACTTATGGTCGCACCAGATGAGTTAGGACCGAAGTGTAACTCATAGAGTAATTTCGGATAGGGTACACCGTCTGCTCGTCACGCTATCTTATTTTCGGCCGGATAGATTCGTGCAACTTCTTAGTCTAATACCGATCCTAATCTTACTCTTATACTATCTAGTCTCAGGTTGTTTAACTAGTCTCTGCTAGGCTCAATAGATCTAGGGTATACTGGTTTATTGCGGCTGCTGAAGTGCTCGGGAGAGTCCAACTAATTTCTAAGTTAAATTCAAATCTCTCTGGTGCTGAAATTACAAGTAACTTCAGCACTTACAAATAAGTGGGTTGTTAGTTAGATGGATCATGATTGGTTAATATTAAATACTTTACATTGGTAAAACATTTAATTTATCCAATCATAAAATGTAGTTTAGATCAGGTTCCATTACTCCCTTTCAGTTTTGGATCGAACGACATGAGAAAAAGTGTTTTTTTTTCCACGCAACATCAGGTATCACAATTATTTATCAGATAGGTCAAGTAATTCATCTTATTGAAGCCATTTCAGTCCGGATTCGATCAAAAATAGAAATATTCAAAAATTTCTCAATGCCGATAAAAACCGCTTTGAAATTTTTCCTTCAAAGTCTTGTCTTACGCTTTTGTGGCTGCTATAATGGTAGGAAAAGCTTTAAGCTTGAAAAGTCTCCTGGCAATAAAAAGTTTTTGTTTTAAGCAGAAAAGAAAAAGCAATTAAATTTTTTTTTCTTAGTTTTTTTTCATTTTTCTGCGAAAACCTTGTCAATCATGACAAGTTTACTAATGCCATGAGCTTTCGTTTTTTCGCTTTGCTCCTTTCGTCACACCAATCAAAAAACGGCACAAGTTCGGGAAAAAATCGAAAAAAAATGTTTTCTTTTTAATATATTAAATTGGTTGGAACTTGCTGTGTTGCGTGCGCAGCAAACACATATTGTTGTTTAGTTTTGGGATCACAGGGAATAGTAATAATCTAAAGTATTCACCTTGCTTTCCGTACAGTCTTCAAGATGAGCCAACTTTCCATGCACAAGTCCCAAATTCCTGTACTGCTGAAAACAGGATCTAGTCTGACCACAATACACATTCAAGTTCAGCGCATCGTAGAGATACTTTGCTGCTTGTTTCAATTTTTCTACATTTTCTGCCGACACTTGGAACAGAACCAACGCCAAAGAGTTCAAACTTTGCGACTCAAGGAGAATGAACCCATTTACCCTGCACTTCTCAACTCCTGCTTTGAGAAGAGAAACCGCTTGCTCTTTGTTCTCTATGCTTTTATCCCCACTTAGCCCCAAAATCAAACCTCGCATCAAGTTAATTCTGATCAAATGTTTGTTCACACCTTCGTACTTTGCATTGCTAAACTGTTTTTCTAATTTGTTCAGTTCTAAGATCGATTCCTTAAATTTCCGCATTCGTCGTAGAACGTTTATTATTTCGAGGGAGCACTCATTTTGACCTTTTTGGTCATTCGCTTCTTTGTAAAGCTCAATACACTTTTGGAAATGCTCCATTGCTTTTTCAGACGTTTCACTTGTACTTTTTTCCATCTCGATTTCTGCTTTAGCGTACAGCAAATCGGCTTCGGCGTGTTTAGAATCGGCCGGTACGACTGCGAGGCCCTTTTCGACGCTCGAGAGGCAATCGGCCTGTTGGTTTGCCCTTCGATAGAGCCGTGCCGCCATCAGATATTTCTCGTGCTCTTTCACAGCTTCGACCCATTTGGGCGCCTCATATAGTCCGCCTGGAAGTCGTTCGAAATTCTCTTCTCCTGAAAGTCAATTACTATTCCGCAATTTAACTTTGCATATTGTTTTTATATTTGATTATAGAGCTAAAGTAGATTAGATTGCTCTAAATTTGCTGGATTTTTTTGGCTGAGTTTTCGTACGAACTAAAAATAATGCATGCATTTTCAGGCGCCTTAAATTCCCTGCACAAATATTTGAAACATTTATTTATTTGAAAAATATTTGAAAAAATGATTCCATTAAAATAATATTTAAAAACTTTTGTGGGGGGTGTGGGGGTGTATTTGGATTCAAAAAAAATTGAAAAAATGAATGGTCGACCAAAAATCAGGACCTTATTTCGATATCAAATTTTCTGCGCCGCACGCGAACAAGCCAAAAAATGCGTTTTTAGACACTTTTTCGAAAATTTTGAAGAAAAAATTGCTCTTTTTCGGCTTGATCGAATTCCTGAGAAAAAGAGCGTATGCCCCCTCCCTGCCCCCCGGAAAAACCGCTACTGATTATACGCAACACATTATTATAGGAATAATAAGTTACAAAAATAATTATAACCTAAACAAAAGAATTCAGGAATTATAAATAATTTAGTTGGGTAGCTGCGCACCTGTGACTTTCCTGAAGAGGTTGCTGACGTCTCCTTTCCATTGGACAATGTTACTTCTGGAGAGCAGAATGTCACACACTGCGTGCAGCTCCATACCCCTGAGACAAAATTGTTTTACAGTGCAAAAATGTTTTAATTCCCATATATGATTTTTTATGGAATCGCTAGAAATTATCTGAAAAGCAGTAATAAGATCTGTGACACAAGTAATGAAAACAAGTTTAAAAAACTTAGGAACAAACATTAGAACGTCGAAAAAAAAACAATCTATTTTGATTTTTTTCTTTTGTTCTTTGCAAACTTTTAGCCGTTTTGAAAAATTAAATGAGATTTGAAGCTGTTATTTGATAAATATGTTCCCTAGCTGATAGTCAATTATTACCTCACAAGATCATCCAAGATTCGTGCAAGATTCTAATCATTATGTGTGTACATTTTGCAAGATAGCAACATTCAAGCTTAAACGCTATTAGTTACTCGCTAAAAAAAACTCATGCTTTTTTATGTTTCAAGGAGACACCTATATTACAAAACATAGCGACTCATGCATAGATACGGTTGGCTAACTGGACAGCGCAAAAAGGTTCTTCACTATTTTGACCATTTTTTTGCAAACTTGGCTATCGACTTCTAAAATTTAGACTTCTAAAATCTCTCTTTGATAAAAATTAAACCCAAGTTTGTTCTGATTAGAAAAAAAAACAAGAATTTTTGAAAAAAAAAATCTTGCAAGAGGTTCAAGACAAATAAACCATGGATAAATTCCAAAACAGACAAAGATATAATTTGCATGCGCCTTGCTAGATCTTGCAAGATAAATGTTGACCATCGACTAGGGCTGTTTAGTCAGCTTTAAAAACTAATGAGAAAGTCAAAACTCTAGTGAAATCCAGAGACACGAAACATCTTTGAGGTAAATAACGAGGAAGATAAACATTAAAAAAGCTGAAAATAGTTATTAACATTCTGGTTTATCAAAAAAATTTTTGGCGATCTCTTCGACTACTTTCGTCTATTGCCAAGAAACAAGACATCGTTGCTTAAAACGATATCGCAGGTTTAATTCGCCATTTAAAGGGATTGGATAATTTTTTGTCGGTACCAAAGGAAGGAAGAACTTTAAAAGTGACCTAATAACAGGATATTTTGGCTTTTTTCTTTTTTTGTTGTTGCTATTTTCTTCTGTCAATAAGCAGTTAGGAATTACCGGTTGATATCAGCGTAGACTTTTCCACAGTACACTTGTCTGATGATGTCTTCGTACACTTTTCTGATGGGTTCGTGAACCTCAATCACTAAATACAGAAGCAGAATCTTCATGGTATAATAAAATAGTAAAGTTTTAATAAAAAAATCTGCTAGGATCCTCCCTCGAGTGAGAAAGAGATGTCTCTTTGAAATAAATTGAAATGAATCAAAATAATGAATCGATTATGTAAGTTGAAACGAACCAAAATTTTGAAACAAAAAAAGACACTTGAGAGAAAACTTTGCCGCTTGCACATCGCGTCCTCAAAGTTACGAAAAATTTTTCTACATCGTTAAGATTTCAAGGGATTGCTTCTCTAGGTTCGTTCTCCCTCTCTATCTCTCCTAAGAACAACGCAAAATGGTCCCTTGGATGCCGAGGTCAGCGGGAAGACCGAGATTCACTACTATCCACAATCCCGAAAGAGTTAAGTTGATGGCAACTTTTCTGTATTGTATTATCTTTTTGCCGCATTTGTGAACTTCTTTTAGGGCTGTCTCGTCCGCTCGATACTTTCACAGGAGCTTCCAATTGTAATTGAATTCAGATAATATAAGTCCAAAAACAGAGAGTTCTAAGTGGCCCGAAGAAAACATAAAAGTCTAATAAAGGGAAAGAGACTGCGATTTATCAGTCCAATGGCCAAATAGTACTAGCCAATCTCCCTTGGGTTAACTTTAAAAAAACGTCGGAGATTGGCTAGTTAATTTCCAATTTTCCAGTGAAAATTGTAACATTCGCCCAAATACTACACAGCGACGGAGCGTAGAAAAAGTACCTATTAACGACTGGCAGGCGTCAGTTACCTTAATCCTACTCGTTTTTCACCGTCTCGACCTTGCCAGTTGATTTTCTGGTCTGTCTAGGGCTAAGTAAAAAGTTACTATTTTTAGGCCATCAGTCAAACGACTTTTGATCAGCTTTCGTTTACATGCGAACACAACCACATAGCTGAGTCTCGGATCCTCAGACTACGTGATTGTCATTAAAAACACGGCTCGAACAACCTATTTTAACATATTTTTGTGTGACAGTTTTATATTAAATCCATTGGAGATGGATTGACCCTTTCCTTTTTCTAGCTACTCATATTCTGAAATATCAAACAATAACGGTGTTAATTAAGAGATCTATGACATTGCAGTAGCTATAAAGTTAGTTTATACAGTCCCTTCACATAAACAGTCTTTTGGGGGACCAAGCCTCCGCTCCCGTAATATTCCTGAGATAACACTCTTATCTCTTATAATTCGTGTCCCGGGAGGGTTCCGTGGTGTATTTCTTCCCCCACTGAAGCCTCCTTCTCCACCAATATCTGTTGACAAGTGTCTTATCGTGCGTTGTTGCCACGATAAGAGGCTTCGTATTTTCCGTCTCTGGTACGACTGTTTTTCACAATCTCTGTCGTTTTTTTTTTCTCGTCACTTTTTCAGTCAACTTTTTCTGAGAAATATTCTTCTTCCAATCGAAATTTTAAAAATAAAAATTCTAGAACATTCCGACCCTCCCTCCAAGCACTTTTTTGCTGTTAAGGCCTTTTCTCTCTGATTCGTGCTTCGTCGGAAGGTTGCACTGTGTCAGTCTGGCAGAATGGCACATACTCCCCGGACAGTCCCCATCAATGTCCCTATTGATCGCATAACACCGGGTTATTGTCAGGTAGTTATCCAGTTTTCTGTAATCAATCTTACAAATCGCATAAGAAAATGAACTTTATCTACCCCACCTCAACTCACTACGTGTTCACAAATGGCATCGTACTACATCTCACTGCCTTTCAACATTTTCACAAAATTTGCACCATGAGGAGTGTCCTAGATAAAATTTCTTTTCTGACTACTTACGTCGTCTTGCCAGAAAACTTCTTTTCGCTCTTTGTGATTAAAAAGTGGGACGTGGCACGGCCACGCACCCGTTAAAATTAACTTAACTTCACTCACCAAGTATAATCAGTCATCTATGCGGTCCTTTCAATATTAAAACTAAGAAACTCTGTGGCTAGGAAAGTTCTTGAGTTACCCACCCTTCCAGAGCGAGTTTACTCAAGCTTACCATGTCGCCACACAGTGAATTTGTGTCTTACACAGGTTAAAAACTTCAGTCGTGAATAAATAGGTAAATATACTCACCTAGATTCCTCATATACATACATAAATAGCCATAACTAAAATCAAGAATTTCAACAATTTTAACAATTACAACAATTTTCAAAGTTTGGTCTGACCAAACTAGATCAAAACAAAAAGTTTAACAAGTTCAATAATCAAAACTTGGTTGATTGGTTTAAGTTTTAGCGCACAAATACAATCAAGTTTTCTCTCCTTCTCTCATCTTCTTTGGTCATCTTCATTCCATCACTTCTCCATCCTGATCTTCGCTGTCTTCCAACACTTTCTCCAGCATGTCCATGGAGTTGCGGGCCGTGCCCCAACTCTCCTGTTCCAACAGCCTCGGTTTGCAGCAAGGTAGCAAGTCCACATTCACTTTCTGCTCCCGGTTCCTGCAAAAGCTGTTGTGCAAAAGGCTCACGTTTCGTTCTAGGTCAGCTCTTAAGACCTCTTTCTTCTCATCTTCAGTAACACAAGGCGTTCCAGCTACCCGCTTCACCGCTGTGGTGACCGCGTTTCTGTGCGTCAAGAATGCTCTCTTATAGGCTCCTGGTCCTAGCTGGAAAGATTGATAGGCTTCCGTGTTCCTCGACATATGACGCTTCGCGCGTTCATACATCCATGACGTCATCACTGCACGGAACCAAGGCATCAATCTTTGCCTTGACCATATTCTTTCAATGGCTTTAGGTATCCTCAGAACCTTGCAGGTGGTTCTGATAAGATCCAATTCACGACTCATCTTCACGTTGCTCAGCTGCTCAGGAGTCGGCACGGCCGTCTCCTGCTGACTTGTGTCCGCGTTAGCCTCCAGCCATCTCACTGCTAGCATGGCGCTAACCACCACGATTGACACTTGTTGATTCTGATCGGGCAACCCCGTGGAGTACAACTCCTCCACGTCCCATACTAGGATCAGATTCCCGCGTTTGGGGTACCACAACGTCTGCGCCAAGCAGTGGCAAGGATACTCCCCATGGGTTCTCACTATGTTCCTTCGGGTCCGATACCCTGAGGCTCCCAGCAACGGTTCCACCTCCATCAGAATTCTATGTAAGTCGTCTTTTTCTTCTATTGTGGGGAATTCAGTGGGTAAGGCTCCACTCGCTTTCTGTTTCTGGAACTCACTCACATTGCCTTCGTTCAGTCTCATAAACTCTTCACCCACAACGTCTTGCAACTCGCTTTCGGATCTCTTCGGGACTGCCCGAAAGATCTTTGCCAACAAGTCATATGACCTTTCCGACATTCTGGCCAACCTCACGCACTTTGGCACAGAGAAAAGTTGGTCAACCAACACTTGTTGCGTCCTCGCATCCATTACCACCATGTGCGTAGGATACTTGCTATTACAGTATGGCGCGGAGCTTGAACCCACCATATATTTTGAACCAGTAGGTCTGTGATAGGCTTCACTATCCTTCAGATTCATTTCATTTTCTAGAGCTTCTCGCCAGCCCCCAATCTTCTGCTCTGTCTGTAACGCTCCAGGGAATATCTCCACGCTGAGGGACGTCACTAACTCATGGGCACGCTCTAGGCGCTCAAGCGATTCTATCGAACTCGTCATGCTACAAAATCCCAAGGCTGTGATCAAGTTTACGTCTGTCACCCCATGGCAGTCTGCGACCAACTCCATGGCACTCTTATCTGACATGCTCAATCTTCCGTACAATCGTGCCAGTTGTCGATGCTGCTCGCTCAGCGTAACCAGGCAGTGTCCCAGGTTACAAACATGTCCTTCCATCCCATTGTGTTGAGTCAAGCATGTTCCTTGCTTCAACCAATTACTCGATGGACCTTCCTCGGACAGCTCCGTGGATGGGTTGCTCTTCCTCTTCGTCAATCTCATGGCCAGCAGATGATGTATCATGGCCAGATCATGTAAACTTGCGTCATCATCTAGGTCTAACGTGATATCCGCCGTCATGTCCCAGATTAAACCGGCGTTAGGATGTGGACACCAAGAAGGCTTCATGAGTTCCCACATCGTCACTAGACTGGTTTTCAAGGGACCGTCCCAAGAACCACAATCAAAACTCACTTGCCCCTTTAGCTCGGGAACCGAGGGTTCGACCACTCGTTCTTCCAAGATAATTCCCAGCTTGGGTTGTTCCACCATCAGCATTCCTGTTTCTTTAATACGTTCGACCCAGAAATTGAGTACTATGACTTGCTCATAGTCGAAGTACGCTTCCCTGGCTTCTTCATTCACGAAGGGATTATACGCCATCCCCGGTATGCCAGACACATATTGGAACGAATTCAGTTTCCCTAGTGTTGCAAACTCTTTTTGTCCTCTGACCGCTTCAATCAACTCTCGGCTCACTTTCAATTCTTTGTTGGAATATCTTCTCACCTCTTCCAACTTGCGATAGCTTTCCATATCACTCGACTCCTTGCTTGGCACAGTCAATGGCATGTCCTGGTATAGTTCACAATCAACTCCCTTTTGCCGAATGATCTTTATGCATTCTCCCAAAACAGGAGAATCATCTTTCGAAATCAACGCTCGCAGAGCTTCCATCAACTCCAGTTCCTGTTCCCGTGATTTCGAATCATTACTGGCTTCATACTCCGCTTTCCTGATGCCCATCAAGCACCAAGCCAATCGTACTTGCAGATCAGTTCTCACGCAAGGATGAGCCAGGTATGCCGCCACCGTAGCAGGTGCATGCATCGCCTCGTCGAAGTATCTCTGGAGGGCCGCCCTCCAGGAGATTTCTAGCAATTTTTTCAATCCGACTTCGTTCGCTTCAGAGGACATTACCGTTCCGTATTCTTTTCGATTCAAGTTCGAATTCTCCGTGAGCTCTTTCAGATATTCCTGCATGACTCGCTTCTCGCTCCAAGCCATCAGGTGCCCTCTCGCGGAGTTCCTCGCTTTCAACATCTCCACATAACCCCCTGCCGGATCTCCCATGTGGACCGATTCCGG